GGCTACTCAATGGCATGGCCTGGCTACTCAGTAGCGTGGCCTGGCTACTCAATGGCATGGCCTGGCTACTCAATGGTGGCCCCTCACCTCTTGTTTCAGTTTAGCTCCATTTAAAGCAAAAAAGAGTGGGCCGACTCACACATGCAGGGCTCGTCGTCATTTATGCCATAGACCGGGTTGCGGATGGCCACAAGGTCCAGTTCATTCTTGGGGTCGTCCAGATCATCCTCATCATCCTGGCCGATCATGGCCCTGGTCGACCCTGACCAACTGACCGGGCGGGGCCTATGCAAGGCCCTTCTCGAGGGGCCATTCCTTCGGCTGTAGTGGGAGATATGGAAGGGAAAAACTGTCACAAAGGACTATCAATGCAGTGTAAGAGGTTACATTTTATATAAACACCAGTAAGATCGTGAACGTGAAAAGACCTTTCATTTGGGACTCTCAAGCTACAGGTTTACTTTTTCAGGTTCAGCTTTTGAAGCTCCTTTTATGTAACTTAGCACTGCAAGGTGTGCAAAAAACTCTACGTGACCAGATCCCACAAACATGAATCTTGCGGCAACTGTTTAAACATGCCAGCCTACATGCATCGAGTATATGCCAACTGAAGAAGTTGACATTTGGGGCTGGCTTCTCTCAGCAAAACTAGGTATTTTTGTGAGAGTTAAAAGTCTGATTTTCACAAAAATGAAGTCTAAATGATTACAATATATCACTGAAAAGCGGGGTGCCTCATGCCATGATTGGAGAAAATGTCAACGGGGGGTGGGTAAGCCCCCTCCCCGGCTCTTTTAGGGTTAAGGGGGGGGAGGAGAAAGAACTCGTTATCTCACCTCCGAACAACAAGGCATACCACTATCACGACTGCAACCAGGACCAGGACACCGCAGACCACCGCGATGATGATGATGCGAGAGTTAGCCGTCTGCGGCGATGTCTTGTTGCCGTCAGTGTTGTTATCCTGGTCCCCGCCTTTGCCGGGCTTCTTGGTCAGGATGCCAATGTCGGCTTGGCCCGTGGTGGAGGGAAGACCTGGCTTGCCCGGCAGGGTGGTCGGAGTAAGAGTGGCTATACCTGGGGAAGGAGAAGAAAACTGTCCACATGGACCACATCTGACAGCAAACTATGGTCTGCCAAAATTTGATAGCTTCCATTGGCAGATTAGGGTGAGGGGGAAGCTAACTGGGGCTATGCCCCCCCCAATTTTGTTTTAAATTAATGAGAGAAATGCAAGTTTTCGGCATTCTATTTTCCTTCCTTCAAAAAGTGTTTGAAATTCCCCCCCCCCAAAAAAAACCCCTAGCCTCTCTCTTGGATCTAGATCTGTTCTTGGCCAGCTCAAAGGCAAGCTGGCTGGGCTCACCACTTCTGAACAGACTACATGCGTGATGAATATTGCAAGCTTTGTAAGCGAGCAACCACGTCCCTCAGGGCCAACACACTGCATATGCAGGCAAGTTTACATTACATTCCTAGTAAGGACATTCCTTTGTTTTTGTAAAGTTCATAGAGCTTGCAGAAATGTGAACACTTTTCAGCTGGTCCCTACTTCCTCATCATGTTGCCTTTGAACCCTACCCACAAATTGCCCCTAAAACTGTTTTACAAAGATTGAGTAACCTTGTGTGGAGTAAGAAGCCCTGTGAGGACTGAGTGGCCTTGTGTGGACTGAGTAACCTAGTGTGGAGTAAGTAACCTTTGTGGAGTGAATAAAATTCTGTTGACTGAGTAGCCTTGTGAGGACCGAGTAACCTTGTGTGGACTGGGTAACCTAGTGTGGAGTAAGTAACCTTTGTGGAGTGAATAAAATTCTGTTGACTGAGTAGCCTTGTGAGGACCAAGTAACCTTGTGTGGACTGAGTAACCTAGTGTGGAATAGGTAACCTTTGTGGAATGAGTAGAATTCTGTTGACTGAGTAGCCTTGTGAGGACCAAGTAACCTTGGCTGGACCCCACTTAATCTACACAAGGTTCACACAGTTTGAACTATGAGGACCTGTTTTGTTCCCTGGTCAACTTAAGATATGCCACATACTTTTTAGCATGCTGGGTGCATGCCAAGGATGGCCCTTGATGACATAGTTTTTGCCAAGCACTCACTGGACAGAGCTCATTTGAACAACAATCCAAGTCAAACTGCTGCATGCGCATGTGTGCCCTGATTGTACATTTGTTGATATTGCAGAAAGTGGCTCACAACACCTCGGTAGTTGTGATGTATTTCCTTCACACGAATTTGTGAAAGGCGTTTGCTCTCCAAAGCGCCCTCAGCGAATGGCTTTTGAGTGATGGCATGAATTCTTCCTCAATTTTTGCTACCAGCAGAGGGGGTACCTCTGCTCTAAGCCCACAACCTGATTTTGTGATTAAAAAGAGTAGGAACCAGTGACATGAACATAACTGTGCAATAAACGGTGGCAACAGGTAAGAAAAGTAAGAAAATCAACCTAGGGAGATTATGAGAGATTATGAGAGATGGCTAAACTCGTTTTTATCTCATCAAAGATTTCAGTTAATATTTGATTTATTGTTATGCAATTTTTTAGATCCTGTGCTTGTTTATAATCATTCATTTTCCAGGGGCTCTCGGTATATAACAAAAAAAAAAAGAAGAAATTGCTTGAACAAAGAAATTTACTGAAGAATGATTTGACTTTGTGAACTCTTACACAGTCGACTGAATACCATATAACTAGTGATATAACCAATTTCCAATGGCAGATCTATGTAAATGCTTCAAGTCAAACAAAACCACAAGTCTGCAACATGACATTGCCTCAAGAGCACTCGTTTACTCATGCACCAGTCCTTTTTAACTGCAAGAGAAATCAATACTTGATGAATAATTCTAAGCAAAAAGATCATGAGTGGTGAAAATGCAAGGCAAGTTGAAAAAAGGATGGCATTTTTTTTTCGAGAGTGCTTTTTGTCGTGCCTGGGAAATTTGATCATCAGCCTAATCAGGATCGGAGAGCGGAGAGGAGAGACTCGGTTGAAGGCTGCATCCCCCGCGCCAAAGATCAGATGAATCGATTCTCTCACCAATGTGCTCAATCTCGATTTCGAGGGGTTAGATTTCACGCCAATCTCGTTCAGCGATCTCTGGCGTGTGACCAACTCTCTCTCCCCGCTCCATTTTTGCCAACTAGAGAGAAATGCGAGACGGAATTTGATCCTCCAATTGTCAACAGGACATATCCTGTCAACGGCTGCAGTATAAACCAAGGGCGACTAGCCCAAATCCCCAACCTGCTACTTGACGACGCGTTCTCCTTAATCAAAAGCATCACCTGCCACTGTTGATCCCTGCTCAAACCACTCCGAAAATTCTTGGAAAAATGCACTCCTGCATACAAATTTGTTTGCTTGACTTTGATAGAGGAAAAAAAAACAGATTCAAATCCCACTGTAGGGGAGATGGGAGGGTGGTCGAAACATGACACGTTCATGTTCAAGGTGGGTATATTTAAGTAACCACCAAGAAGTCTACAATTTTTTATGTGTTTCATTTGTAAGGCACAAGTACACATGTATGCATGGCAAACTGGTGGAATTATCACTTTTTTTTCTAGAACAAAATCCTCGATATGAGACAGTTTTGTAAAAAACTGTTCCAACTAACCCCCCATCCCCCGTACTGTCTGCCATACTAAGAACCAATTACACGGTAACATATTGTCCACAAGCACAAATGCAAGGTGTAATTTATCACCTGTCAAATTTCCACAGCCATTACCATCACTGACAAACACATGATGAAGTACATTATAGACCCCCACAAAAGCCTAATGCAAATCCTCCACCTCTGCAAGATCCAACACTTGGTTCTACCTGTCAGATTCAGCGATGAAAATCCTGCATTACTTTGGAACTGAAAACACATCATAATTTACCTCCATTTCTGAGCAGAACAACGGATGAAGACTTGTGTGCTTGAAACCTGAAATAATATCTACTTATGTTCCCGTCCATAAAGCCTTTTGTAAATTTTTCAGCAAGTTTTGGTGACGAGAAAAAAAGAAAGAAAACAAAACTGCAAGACCTCAGAAAAGTAAAAGTCTTAATTTAATTTTCTTCCAAGAGCTTGTCGCCCTCAAAAATTTCTAATTTAGTGAAACTGATTTTCCAAGGTTCAAAAATAAATTAACTGTGCTACCTTTTTTAAGGCACTGCTGACACACATGCAAAAAATACGACCTTTAATCCAAAAGCATTTCTTAATCTTGTAAAGATTGCCTCAGTGAATGTTAAAATACTGTCACCATCTTTCCTACATCACATACATACACGCATACAGGTGCAACCCCACTGTAGTTAGGAAAACATCCCTACTGTACTTCTCTCATTCTAAAACCAGGCGGCCACCGTACCGGCCCCCAAACAAAACATGTTTTTCCTGGATTAGTGTTTACCAAAGCTTCTCGGGTTTTGAGTTCAAGTAGTTGAATGGGAGCACAAACGCGGGCACAACAACCTCTGACGTGGTAAAGGTGACTAAACTCCGATGTGCACTGTAGTGGTGATATTTCTCCGTGCTACTCGGGAGTAGTTCCGTCAGCAACATTTCATACTAATCAGCCTTTTTGAGGGATGAAGCTTTCTTCTACTGTACAACAAATTCTTCGTAAAACTAGAAATGATATATATAGAAACTCTGACGGGGATGAGATTGGAGAGAAATCAAATATCCATGAACTAATGAATAGATGTTTTGAGGGCCCCCAAGCAGCATATGCTCTACAATACACATTTCTGTTTGCCTATGGGCACCCTTGAATCAAAATAACCACTTCTTTGGTTTTACATCAATTTTTTTCACGTAAAAAACACCTCAATGGTAAACTCAGCATTTTCCACACTTAACCTTGGATTTTCCTACCTGAAAAAAGCTGCCGGGGGGGTGGATTTATTTTCCTGCAAATTCTCCAACTTTGCAATTTATTTATGACGCCCATAAAATATGCAGGGAGGCACAACTCTTGAGTTAAGGCATCACTATTTTCAATCTTTGCCCAATTTTGCAACTGCCCAGGAAGGAATTGTGGCATGTGTCCACCTGTCAACCAGTCCATGGCATATACAGGCAACACCGGTGGCCACGTGTGTGTTTTGCCGATTGTTTCAATACAAAGGAGTCGCTAGCTGGGATTTTGTATTACCTTATCTCTTTGGTAAGCGCGGTTTCGCTCCCTGGCAAATCGGCTTACCCAAACAAAGGAGGTCTCTTATCCCTCTCAGCTCATTGTGTATGGTGTGGGTTTCTCAGTGCAAGTCTAATTATTCGAGACAGGCGCTTCCCTTTTATGGTTGGTTGGCGGTGGGTCCAACCAAGCGCGACATGTTAATACATCAACCACAGAAATGAAAAAAGAATTCCTAAACGAGTGTACACGTCCTCCTAAGGAAAATTGTGCATGTTTACACGTCATCCAGCGTCAAGTGGTCAACAGAGATTGTTGGGAAAAATCCTGTCAAATCTCATCCTGCTCTGGTGTTGAAGCTGTTTTAAGAAAAGCAAAATAAATGGCTGTTTTTCATACCAGGGTCAAATTCTCTGATTACTGCCTTCAGCTTTTCCTTGATAATTTGGCAGAAGACAGGCAGTGACCATGAGAAATGAAAGGTTCAAAATCTGGGCAGAGAAATTCCTGGAGTGTGAGCTCAGTGTTAAATGTACACCACAGCAACATTAGCACCATCCCCAATTGTTGGGAAATTTCTGGCATGGCAGTTAGAGTGACAAAACTCCAATAAAAAAAAAAAAAAAATCTGTTATCACCTAATCCTTGAATGCCACAGTCATTTGGTTCATATCAAGATGATGCGTGTTTCCATACATACGAGAGCCACATTTAAAAAAAAACCAGAGAGAATATGAGCTAAATTGCAGGAAAGCATTAAACTGAAGGCAAAAATCCATTATAGAGTGTGTTCCATCACAACGCGTCTGATTGATGATTTTGTAATAATCGCAGACAACTTAATGCCCCCTGCAAGGCAAACAAGAGCTCGTCCGGTCGTCTGCCATGAGGGTTGTGTGGAGGCCCTCGTGTGACAAGCAAGCCAAAGTGGCAGGTGGTCTTTTTCTGATCTGGTCTGACCCCCAATGATCACTCCTTCACAGCACTTCTGACAGACTTCATGAAGTCTCGCCAGTGACCACTGCTGTCCGGGAAGCAGATTTGCCCGCCCACAAGCAAAGAGCTTGAATTTTTTCTGAGGAAAAAAAAAGCATGACTGCGGAGCCAGCGGCTCAAGAAATATCCCAGGTCCAAAAATAACTTCCAAGACTGACAAATATAAAAAAAAACCATCTTTTTCATCAGAGCATCTGGAAACTCCCTGAAAACCCCGCGTTTCATTTCGATGTCAAGAACCTTTCTGCATTCTCCACAATTCTGCGCAGAAAACCAATGGGGAATTCTTAATACAGTGTGGGCATCAACCCCCCCCCAATAAATAAATAGTGATATCTTACGATATGTCCAAGAAACTTCTGAATAATTTTCAACCGTAAACAGTTCTTTCAGATAACCAATAAATCATGCTCTTGGGTTCATAATATGGACACAGGCAGAGTATGGTAATGACAAGACATACAGATACCTTTATGCTGCATCATGTGCATTGCAAGTGCTCCCTCGCACTCGGATTGTACACCGATGCCATGACTTTTGTACACGTTCTGTTTGAAATTGGTGATGCCAATTTTACACCATTATTTTACACGTGCGAGACACAAAGTGTCCTTCGCTGGATCTCACGTCATGTGTGCCACACCTACAATTCATGCAGTGTGCATATCAGCCCATGAAGTTTTACCAATAATGTTACCACGGCCCCCCCTATGCCCCCCCCGATGCTTCCCCATGCCCTCAATATCACCCCCTGATTCTCCCCAAGCCTTCCATGTTACCCCCGATGTCACCCCCTGATGCCAGCCAACGTCCTCAGTGTTACCACTGATGCTACATTTTTCCTCTCAATGTTACACCTGACACTAACCCCGCCCTCACCCACATCATGTCACCCCTCATGCTTCCCCTCTCCCAAAGGCCACCCGTCCCCTTCAGTGTTACCACTGACAGTATCTCCACCCCATATTCAACCCCGATGTACTCCACCACCCTCAATGTCATCCCTCGAGCTACCTTCCACCCCCCACTGCGCTTTCAACCCCTAACCCACTCCTGGTACTCTTACCTGGAACTCCAGGGGAGCCTCCTGGTACTGTGGGTAGGGCAGACTGGATGGCGTGGGTGGTGGTGTCAGCCGATGGCACTGTTGGTGGGACACCAGAGGCTGGAACGAGATAAACCAGAAGCACCGTCAGAGGAAGCTGTCCAGAAAACATCTTTGTTAATTAACCAC